TACTTGTATTACCTTATTTCTTTTCTATTGTTCTTATTTTTCTTTTTAAGTTTACATGGACATCTCTAATACCGTATATTACCTTACTTGATCATGACAATAGTCTTGGCCAGACACAGTGGCTCACATAATGCCAGCACTTTGGGAGGCTGAGTCAAGTGGATCACTTGAGCCCGGGAGTTGGAGACCAGCCTGGGCAACGTGGCAAAACCCTGTCTCTACAAAATATACGAAAATTAGTAGGCTGTGGTGGTGCGTACCTGTAGTCCCAGCTACTCAGGGGGCTGAGGCAGGAGGATGGCTTGAGCCTGGGAGGTCGTGGCTGCAGTGAGCCATGATGGCACCACTTGCACTCCAGCCTGGGTGACAAAATAAGACCTTGTCTCAAACAAACAAACAAAAACCAGCCTTGTTAAGTGGCAAAATTATATCCATTTTACAGACTCATAAACAGAGCCTCAGAGAGATTGACTTGCCCTAAGTCACACAGCCAGTAAGTAACACAAATGGAACTCAAATACAGTTTTAGTCCTTCCAAATCCTGTGGTCTTGCCTCTCTTTTACATTATCGGACACAGTGTGCCCTCCTAAATGCCTTCTTCACGCACACACAAAATGTGATAGAAAATGCACTACTTCTACATATGTGTTTGGAGAAGGGAAGGTTCTCTGTTATAAATTTACTTTTAGAAACTGAAGACAAGGAAGGAAATTAATTGCTAGCACATTGTACTTTCAGAAGTACAAAAAAAAATACATGACTTATACCTACTATTGCTTGTGGCTCAGGTGTTAAGGTGACACTGACACTTTTGTTTTATTTGAGAGTTGTTTGATGAAGGGCGAATAAATTATTTTTAGCACCTTAATAAAGACATCTATGTGGGCTGGACGTAGATGGCTCATTCCTGTAATCCCAGCACTTTGGGAGGCCAAGGCGGGCAGATCACGAGGTAAGGAGTTTGAGACCAGCCTGGCCAACATGGTGAAACCCCTGTCTCTACTAAAAATCCAAAAATTAGCTGGGCGTGGTGGCGTGTGCCTGTAATCCCAGCTAGTCGGGAGGCTGAGACAGGAGAATTGCTTGAACCTGGGAAGCGGAGGTTGCAATGAGCTGAGATCGCACCACTGCACTCCAGCCTGGGCAAGAGGGCAAGACTGTCTTGAAAGGAAAAAAAAGACATCTATGTGACCAATATAGGAATAATAAGATGTACCATTTATTTTTTATTTTTTGAGAAGTGTTTTCCTCTGTTGTCCAGGCTGGAGTGCACTGGTACAATCATAGCTCATTGCAGCTTCAAACTCCTGAGCTCCAGTGATCCTCCCACCTCAGCCTTCTGAGTATCTGGAACTACAGGCATGCACCACAATGACTGGCTAATTTTTAAATATTTTCACAGAAGGACACAATCTCTCTGTTTTGCCCAGGCTCGTCTCAAACACCTGGCCTCAAACTTCCTTCCACCTCGCCCTCCCAAAGTGGTGGGACTATGGGCATGAGCCACTGTGCTTGGCCTTACTTCTAAAGTTTCTTCTCACATTGTATTTCTATGATTAGTAATCATTACCACTGTTCTACAACCTTCACACTACTTTCACATACAGTATCTCATTTGATTCTTGAAGCAGTCCAGTAAGACAGGCAGAACAGAAATTCCTGACATTCAATAGATTAAGAATTTGAGGCTTGGCCGGGCATGGTGGCTCATGCCTGTAATCCCAGCACTTTGGGAGGCCGAGGCAGGCGGATCACCTGAGGTCAGGAGTTTGAGACCAGCCTGGCCAACATGGCAAAACCCTGTCTCTAGTAAAAATACAAAAATCAGCTGGGCATGGTGGTGCGCACTGGTAATCCCAGCTACTCAGGAGGCTGAGACAGGAGAATCGCTGGAACCCGGGAGGCAGAGGCTGCAGTGAGCCGAGATTGTGCCACTGCACTCCAACCTAGGCAACAGAGCAAGACTCCGTCTCAAAAAAAAAAAAAAGAATCTGAGGCTCCAAGAAACTGGTTTTTGTCAAAGTTATGTGCCCTATCACCTAGTTGAATGTTCCCTCCAACAAACCATATGGAAAATTCTCAAGTATCAGGATCTAAATGTTAATATCAAATTTGTAAATTACATAGGTCCTTTCCTTTGTCTTCCTGCTGTATGCCTTTCATTTATTATTAATCCTCTTTCACAAAGGAATATTTGAGGGCTAAATAACATCCAATCCTAACAAGTCCTACCTCTGCTTAATTAGTTTTCTGACATCAGGTGGGAAATGGAAAGCAATTTTTTTTTTTTTTGAGTCAGAGTTTCACTCTTGTTGCCCAATCTGGAGTACAATGGCACAATCTGAGCTCACCGCAACCTCTGCGTCCCGAGTTCAAGTGATTCTCCTGCCTCAGCCTCTCGAGTAGCTGAGATTACAGGCATGAGCCGCTATGCTGGGCTAATTTTGTATTTTTAGTAGAGATAGGGGTTTTCCATGTTGACCAGGCTGTTCTCGAACTCCCGACCTCAGGTGATCTGCCTGCCTTGGCCTCCCATAGTGCTGGGATTAGAGGTGTGAGCCACCAGACCCAGCCTGGAAAGCAATTTTCTTACCCATAGGGGCACAAATGAAATGGGCTGGTTTAAATTTCTGGATAAAAATCTATATTTGCATATCACCCATTATCAAAATATTTACAAAATGTGTAACTGGAGCTGGATGTGGTGGCTCATTCCTGTAATTGCCACACTTTGGAAGGCTGAAGTGGGAGGATCACTTGAGGCCAGGAGTTTGAGACTAACCTGGTCAATGTAGCTAGACCTTATATCTATAAAAAGTATAAACTTTAAATTAAAAAAGCAAAATATGTGACTATATCCTAAAACAAAATGTAAGTTTTTTTTTTTCTTTTTAGACAGTCTCACCCTGTTGCCCAGGCTGGAGGGTGAGTGGTGCGATCTTGGCTCACTGCAACCTCCGCCTCCCAGGTTCAAGTGATTCTCGTGCCTCAGCTTCCCAAGTAGCTGGGATTACAGGCCACCATGCCCAGTGAATTTTGTATTTTTATTAGAGATGGGGTTTTGCCCTGTTGGCCAGGCTAGTCTCGAACTCTTGACCTCAAGTGATCCACCCACCTTGGCCTCCCAAAGTGCTGGGATTACACGTCTGAGCCACCATGCCCAACCCAAAATTACAAATCTGAAGCTCAAGACAACAACCTATAGAGGTTAACAATCAAACTGCCAAGGCTCAAATACTGGCTCCTTATCTTAGGTGTACAATCTCCTGGGCAAGTTTCTTTACCTCCTGGGGCTTCAGATTCCTTCGCTCTAAAATAGGGGTAAGAAAAAAATGCTTTCTTTTTGTTTGTTTTTTTGAGACGGAGTCTTGTTCTGTTGCCAGGCTGGACTGCAGTGGTGCGGTCTCAGCTCACTGCAACCTCCGCCTCCCCCCTTCAGGCGATTCTCCTGCCTCTGCCTCCGAGAAGCAGTAGCTGGGACTACAGGCGCAGGCCACTATGCCCAGCTGATTTTTGTATTTTTAGTGGAGACAGGGTTTCACCATGTTGGCCAGAATGGTCTTGATCTCTTGACCTCGTGATCCGCCCGCCTTGGCCTCCCAAAATGCTGGAATTACAAAAAAATGCTTTCTTAAAGAATTTTTTTTTTTTTTTTTTTTGAGACAGAGTCTCGCTCTGTTGCCCAGGCTGGAGTGCAGTGGTGCGATCTTGGCTCACTGCAAGCTCCGCCTCCCGGGTTCACGCCATTCTCCTGCCTCAGCCTCCCAAGTAGCTGGGACTACAGGCGCCCGCCACCACGCCCGGCTAATTTTTTTGTATTTTTAGTAGAGACGGGGTTTCACCGTGCTAGCACCGGGATGGCCTCGATCTCCTGACCTCGTGATCCGTCCGCCTCAACCTCCCAAAGTTCTGGGATTACAGGCGTGAGCCACCGCGCCTGGCCACCTTCTTAAAGATTAAAAGAGATAATGCACGTGGGTCTTTAGCACAGTGTCTAACAGTTAAGTATTGATAACTTGACATGGATACTATTTTTTGGCATTTAATGTTCAGCAAGCTAGTTTCGACTGTGTACTTTCCTATTCATAAGTGACTGTGCTTTGGAATATACTAGAAAATGTATGTAAAATGTTTGGTTTTAAAAAGATAAAACCACAATATACTCAATTACCTTTGGAAGTTAGCCATGTATCATTTTTCTAAATCTTACAAAAGGGAGAGTTACAAAAGGTTACTCTGTTAATCAAGGGTGAGGCTGAAATTGAGAGTTTGGTTTTTTGTTTTTTTTTTTTTTTTAATGGAAATGGACTGCGATATAAAAAAAGTTTGATTGAAATCCAAGAAGCTGTAATGTGGTCAAATGATGATTTCTATCTTAATGCTGGACTGATGCAAGCCAAAGAAGGGTCAATGTTGCCGCAGGATTACAAGCCCTGCTGAAAGAGATGCATGATGCAACCTCTGTAGTGAACAGAGTCAACTCTGAGTCACCAGTCTAACCTTCAAAGAGCATTAAGGAAAAAGAAAATTCTTGAGTACTGAGTCACAGGCTCAACATCTTAATAAAGTGTGTTTAGGATGTTTTAGTGGTATCTGGACACAGTATACCCACAAATTTCAAATATTTGGTATCAGACCTTTGTCCTTTCCATAGTTGGTCCTCCAAAAACATTTGTCAAACAAATGAATTTATTTTTTTCTTTTTGAGATGGAGTCTAGCTCTGTTGCCCAGGCTGGAGTGTAGTGGCGCGATCTTGGCTCACTGCAACCTCCGCCTCCCGGGTTCAAGCGATTCTCCTGCCTCAGCCTCCGGAGTAGCTGGGATTACAGGCGCGTGCCACCATGGCCAGCTAATTTTTGTATTTTTATAGAGATGGGTTTTCACCGTGTTAGCCAGGATGGTCTTGATCTCCTGACCCCGTGATCCGCCCGCCTCGGCCTCCCAAAGTGCTAGAATTACAGGCGTGAGCCGCCGCGTCCCGCCACAAATGAATTTTTCGTTTTAAAGTTAAGAGGCGAGGCACAGCGGCTCACGCCTGTAATCCCAGCCCTTTGGGAGGCCAAGGCGGGCAGATCGCTTGAGGTTGGGAGTTCGAAACCAGCCTGGCTAATATGGTGAAACCCCATCTCCATAAAAAAATAAAATACATACAAAAATTAGCCAGGCATGGTGGCGCGTGCCTGTAATCCCAGCTACTCAGGAGGCTGAGGCAGGAGAATCGCTTGAACCTCGGAAGCGGAGGTTGCAGTGAGCTGATTTTTCACCACTGCACTTCAGCCTGGGGGCAACAGAGTGATACTCCGTCTTGAAAAAAATAAAAATAAAAGTATTAGCAATAGAATGAAGTCCACCTGGTTATCAGTCCTAACTCCATCACTCACCAGCTCTGTGACTTGTTTAGTTATTTAATCTTTTTCAGTCTCAATGTCCTCATCTGGAAAATGGGAAATGCCTACCAAGTACTTAACTGTCAAGACTAAATGACACATGAAAAGCACACTGAACAACGCTTAGCCCAACGTAGGCTTTCAGCAAATAGCGGTCTCTGTAATTTTTTGCAACAGGATGTTATATGAGGCATTATCAAGACGATTTTCGCCTATCAAATGTGTTGTCTGTGTGCACATCAGACCTTTTCCTGGAATTAAGGTAGAAAAGTATCAACAATAAGGGATGGGGAAAGTCTTGTAAATGATAACCTCAGCCCCAGAGGGAAACGATGGGCAGCGGATGGGAAAGTAAAGGGTGGTAAGTTAGAAAAATTAGACATTCAAGGTGGGAGGGCTGGCACTGGAGCGGGCACAGTAGGGAGCGGACTCAGAGCTGAAGGCAATTCCTTTGGCCGGGCTTGTCCTGTGACTTACCGTGGGGCAGGGCAATGTGGAGAGGCCTGGTAAAATGGCTGGGCAAGGGTGCAGAGGGGACGTAACTGGCAGGAAGGAGCCATGATTCGTGGTCGAACGGAGTCCAGACCAGCTCGACCTGTGAGCAACGAATGGCCCTGAGACTCACATATCCCAATACCGGTAGTGGCCGTGAAGGGCAAAGAAATGTGTTCTGAGGCGATCCCAGTATCTAAGCTGCGACCGGTCTACTCAGAGACTGGATGGAAGCTGGGAAGAGAAAGTTGCTTCCCGCTTCGGGATGAGGGATGGAGATGGGGAGAACAAGCAGTAGAGAAGGAAAAGATTCAGATCCCACAGCCCCGGGGGATCAGTTGTGCTGGACCTACTCCGACCCCCTAGGGCCCGGAGTGAAGGCGGGACCTGTGCGGTTACCAGAGGAAATGCCTCGAGGTGAGAAGTCGCAGGAGAGAGAGACAGCTGCTGAACCAATGGGACCAGTGGATGGGGCGGATGTTATGTGGACGTTAGAAACGAATAGCAGCCAATGAATCAGCCGGGGGGGGCGGAGCAGTGACGTTTGTTGCGGAGGAGGCCGCTTCGAATCGGCGGCGGCCAGCTTGGTGGCCTGGGCCAATCAGCGGCCTCCAACGAGCAGGGCCTTCACCAATCGGCGGCCTCCACGACGGGGCTGGGGGAGGGTATATAAGCCGAGTAGGCGACGGCGAGGTCGACACCGGCCGAGACAGCACAGACGGACCGACCGATTGGGGTGTTTCGCGAGTGTGAGAGGTAAGCGCCGCGGCCTGCATTTCCAGACCTGCCCTCCTGGTTCGTGGCGCCTTGTGACCCCCGGCCCCTGCCGCCTGCAAGTCGGAAACCGCGCTGCGCTCCTGTGCTGCGGCCTGTGGCTGGACTGCCTGCGACGCCCTGCCTGCTGCTGCTGCCGGACTGGTTGGCAAGATGAAGCTCTCCCTGGTGGCCGCGATGCTGCTGCTGCTCAGCGCGGCGCGGGCCGAGGAGGAGGACAAGAAGGAGGACGTGGGCACGGTGGTCGGCATCGACCTGGGGACCACCTACTCCTGGTAAGTGGGGTTTGCTGATGCGGGGGGACGGGCGTAGCCGCCTGGCCTGGCGTGAGAAGTGCGGTGCTGATGTCCCTCTGTCGGGTTTTTCTGCCAGCGTCGGCGTGTTCAAGAACGGCCGCGTGGAGATCATCGCCAACGATCAGGGCAACCGCATCACGCCGTCCTATGTGGCCTTCACTCCTGAAGGGGAACGTCTGATCGGCGATGCCGCCAAGAACCAGCTCACCTCCAACCCCGAGAACACGGTCTTTGACGCCAAGCGGCTCATCGGCCGCACGTGGAACGACCCATCTGTGCAGCAGGACATCAAGTTCTTGCCGTTCAAGGTTCGACCGGGTTTTTCTTGTGCGGTTAGAGGACGGGTGGGTGGTGGGAGTATTTAGAATTATAAGTCTCTGGAAGTGTTGAGACATCAGTTGAAGGCTATAGACAGGATGTGTGTAAAAACTGTAATAATCCTAGTATGTTGCAAAACTTAAGACAGTATAGTTGATGTCGTAGTCGGTCTACAATAGTTGAGGAATAAAAGACCGATTAAAACTGAACTTTATGAGACACCTATACTCCCTGAAGTATTTCTAGTCAATTTGCAGCCCCAAGGGACCAAAATAAACCAAATTGTGGGGATGGTAGTGGGTCTTTTAAACTTTGAGGTGTCATTGCATCTGTGTCTGAAAACAATTTTTTAAAATAGGTGGTTGAAAAGAAAACTAAACCATATATTCAAGTTGATATTGGAGGTGGGCAAACAAAGACGTTTGCTCCTGAAGAAATTTCTGCCATGGTTCTCACTAAAATGAAAGAAACTGCCGAGGCTTATTTGGGAAAGAAGGTAAATATTTCTAGAACAATGTTAAGTATTTTTTGATCATTAGTATTCTTGGTTGGCTGTTATGTATAGAAGCCTTCATGGTTTCAAAAATTTTAATCAGAATGGTATTCATGCTTGTCAGGTCATTATTGAGTCCTTTACTATAAGCCAAACAAAATAGACTTTTCATGTATTATTTAATGCTTACAATTCCAGGAGCATAAAATTTTATATGTTATACTCATCAATAAATTGGCTTAAAAACTAAAGTGATGGTTTGACTATAATTTTTTTTTTTTTTTTTTTTGAGAGGGAGTCTTGCTCTGTTGCCCAGACTGGACTGCAGTGGCATGATCTCAGCTCACTGCAACCTCTGCCTCTCGGGTTCAAGCAGCTCTCCTGCTTCAGCCTCCCAAGTAACTGGGACTACAGGCACACCACCACACCTGGCTAATTTTTTTTTTTTTTTTTTTTTTTAATTTTCAGTAGAGACAGGGTTTCTTCACATTGCCCAGGCTGGTCTTGAAATCCTGACCTCTGGTGAATCCTCCTGCCTCAGGCTCCCAAAGTGCTGGGATTACAGGCACAAGCCACTGCCTGGCCAGACTGTAATTTGAATAAGTGTTAAACTGTGTGACAATACATTTAATTATCTTTTATCCTTTTAGGTTACCCATGCAGTTGTTACTGTACCGGCCTATTTCAATGATGCCCAACGCCAAGCAACCAAAGACGCTGGAACTATTGCTGGCCTAAATGTTATGAGGATCATCAACGAGCCGTAAGTATGAAATTCAGGGATACGGCATATTTGCCAAATAGTGGAAATGTGAAGTACTGACAAAACTTTTCCCTTTTTTAATCTCCTAATAGTACGGCAGCTGCTATTGCTTATGGCCTGGATAAAAGGGAGGGGGAGAAGAACATCCTGGTGTTTGACCTGGGTGGCGGAACCTTTGATGTGTCTCTTCTCACCATTGACAATGGTGTCTTCGAAGTCGTGGCCACTAATGGAGATACTCATCTGGGTGGAGAAGACTTTGACCAGCGTGTCATGGAACACTTCATCAAGCTGTACAAAAAGAAGACTGGCAAAGACGTCAGGAAAGACAACAGAGCTGTGCAGAAACTTCGGCGTGAGGTGGAAAAGGCCAAACGGGCCCTGTCTTCTCAACATCAAGCAAGAATTGAAATTGAGTCCTTCTATGAAGGAGAAGACTTTTCTGAGACCCTGACTCGGGCCAAATTTGAAGAGCTCAACATGGTATGTCCCTTGTTTTCTGCTTTGCTAATGAGATCTCATTAGACTCTGAATTCAGGACATTGCATCTAGATACTTAGATAACAGACATCACGGTAACCAGGTCTTTTTTTTCTAGGATCTGTTCCGGTCTACTATGAAGCCCGTCCAGAAAGTGCTGGAAGATTCTGATTTGAAGAAGTCTGATATTGATGAAATTGTTCTTGTTGGTGGCTCGACTCGAATTCCAAAGATTCAGCAACTGGTTAAAGAGTTCTTCAATGGCAAGGAACCATCCCGTGGCATAAACCCAGATGAAGCTGTAGCATATGGTGCTGCTGTCCAGGCTGGTGTGCTCTCTGGTGATCAAGATACAGGTAGGTCACGATCGCGGCACCTTTCATAGTGATTCCATAGCTTGATGGAAGACTCATTAGCTATTGCTTTAGAAAATACCAGAATATGAGCAACAAGGTCACACATGTAGTAAAGGGTGTCAGTGAAGACAAGACTGGGGTAGTCTCAAGATCATTAGCAACTGTTTAATTCACTGCCTTTAAGATGTGTGTTAGAACCTAACCAAATGCTAGAGACGCAAACTTTACATAGCTCATAGGGAGAACTTGAATTAGAAGTTAAATAACTTATCCTTACAGGTGACCTGGTACTGCTTGATGTGTGTCCCCTTACACTTGGTATTGAAACTGTGGGAGGTGTCATGACCAAACTGATTCCAAGGAACACAGTGGTGCCTACCAAGAAGTCTCAGATCTTTTCTACAGCTTCTGATAACCAACCAACTGTTACAATCAAGGTCTATGAAGGTAATTACTTAAGTTTGCTAATATGGCTTTTTTTTTTTTTTTTTGAGATGAAGTTTTGCTCTGTTGCCCTGGCTGGACTGCAGTGGCATGATCTCCGCTCACTGCAACCTCCGTCTCCCGGGTTCAAGTGATTCTCCTGCCTCAGCCTCCAGAGTAGCTGGGATTACAGGCATGGACCACCATGCCTGGCTAATTTCTGTAGTTTTAGTAGAGATGGGGTTTCACCAGGTTGCCCAGGCTGGTCTCCAACTCCTGACCTCAGGTCATCTGCCTGCCTCTGCCTCCCAAAGTACTGGGATTACAGGCATGAGCCACCGCGCCAGGTCTATCTATCCAGGTCTATCTATCACGGCATGTTTTAAAAGAACATGACTTAAGATGATCTATTGAAATGGCAAGGGAACTAAGTAACTGCTGTTTTCAGATGGGGGTCTTAATTTGAATAATGTTTTATATCTAGATATTTCGCTTTTTTTTTTTTTTTTTTTTTTTGAGATGGAGTGTCACTCTGTCGCCTAGTGTGGGGTGTAGTGGCATGACCTGCAACCTCTACCTCCCGAGTAGCTGGGATTACAGGTGCCCACCACCATGCCAGGCTAATTTTTGTATTGTTAGTAGAGGCAGGGTTTTGCCATGTTGGCCAGGCTGGTCTTGAACTCCTAACCTCAGGTGATCCACTGACCTCAGCTTCCCGAAGTGCTGGGATTATTACAGGTGTGAGCCACTGTGCCCAGCCTATGTTTAGCATTCTTAATAGTAACATCTGAGCTGGCTCCTAGAGTACAAGAAAAAGGAGTTCATAGTACTTTAAAATAGAAAAAATTCAGTTGAGTTAGTAACCTAACTCATTGTTAGTACTAGTTGCTGCTCCCTGTAGACCAGTATGAAATTACTTTTAGCTCGATAAAACCAAAAGTGTCTAGATGTGCTAATGCTTGTCAGTAACAACTAATGAGTTTTTCTATATGTAACTTCTAGGTGAACGACCCCTGACAAAAGACAATCATCTTCTGGGTACATTTGATCTGACTGGAATTCCTCCTGCTCCTCGTGGGGTCCCACAGATTGAAGTCACCTTTGAGATAGATGTGAATGGTATTCTTCGAGTGACAGCTGAAGACAAGGGTACAGGGAATAAAAATAAGATCACAATTACCAATGACCAGAATCGCCTGACACCTGAAGAAATCGAAAGGATGGTTAATGATGCTGAGAAGTTTGCTGAGGAAGACAAAAAGCTCAAGGAGCGCATTGATACTAGAAATGAGTTGGAAAGCTATGCCTATTCTCTAAAGAATCAGATTGGAGATAAAGAAAAGCTGGGAGGTAAACTTTCCTCTGAAGATAAGGAGACCATGGAAAAAGCTGTAGAAGAAAAGATTGAATGGCTGGAAAGCCACCAAGATGCTGACATTGAAGACTTCAAAGCTAAGAAGAAGGAACTGGAAGAAATTGTTCAGCCAATTATCAGCAAACTCTATGGAAGTGCAGGCCCGCCCCCAACTGGTGAAGAGGATACAGCAGAAAAAGATGAGTTGTAGATACTGATCTACTAGTGCTGTAATATTGTAAATACTGGACTCAGGAACTTTGTTAGGAAAAAATTGAGAGAACTTAAGTCTCGAATGTAATTGGAATCTTCACCTCAGAGTGGA